TTTGTAACTCTGTATTGTCTGTATTGTGCTTGTGATATGTTGTAAAATGTTGTATGTCTGTTAATGTTTCCCTCCTTTTATCTTTAAAATAAAAAAAAAAAAAACAAATTGAAATGGCCACTTTAGTCATGCTAATTAGCCTATCCATTATCTCTTATCCTTACCCTTTAAATATAAGTGTTTCTAGTGGCTTCCTCAGGAATCTTGTAAGTAGAGTCTTACAGGAAGTAACAATGTTTCCTGTTAAGCCAGACACCACTGACAACCATTTCTCTTCTGCTTTGTTAGAATTACTTGTTAGTTAGGAATCCCCCTACAAATATATGTACTTCTTTAGAACAATTTTAGTTGTTCTGTAATCAGCATGCTCTGGTACATTTTCAGGGTTAAATCCCTGAACACTGAATGGAGACTCCATTGATGCTTATGGCAGTTTTTTAATGAAGTCGTTTAGGGCCTAGCATGGTGGCGCATGCCTATAATCCCAGGACACAGAGGCTGAAGCAGGAAAATCACTGTGAGTTTGAGGCCAGCCTGGGCTATATAGCAAGACCATGTCTCAAAAAAAAAGAAAAAGGAATCAGGGAAAAATGATATACTAAGTATCTGCTATTTTTGCAATCTTCACAGGGCGAAGGAGAGGCTAGAAAAGGCCAATTCCAAACTTCTGGTGAAGAAATTGCAAAGCAGAAGTTTGCTGAGTGCTGCTAATACAAGACCTGTCCTAGTGTGTCCTTGTATGGGAAATCTTAATCATAGTTCGGAGCTCCACAGAAGTTTTCTTCCCAGAGAAAACTTAGCAGATCATACATTAAACCCACAGCCTTCAAACAACAGCATGGAGAACCTCTTCACAGTTAGTAGTAGTATCATCTTTTCCTTGTATCTGAGGTTTCTGATTTAATTCCTGTTGTTAATTTGGTGAAATATTGGGCAGGGGAAGTAGCTCCTGGTAGAGCACTGGGCTAGTGTGCATAAGGCCCTTAGTTTGATCCCCAGGGGATCGGTTAATCTGATGAACTACTGTTAGTTGACTTACACATGTTAAGTAAAGATCACATTAGTATGTGTTAATATAAAGAAAGGAACCAGAAATTTACAGGTTTTTTTAAAGTTCCTGTAGCTTTCATTTTCAGGAGATATTTGTTAACTTGATTCCGTAAATGTAACTGAACTAGATGTGGTATATTTTTAACTTCTTTTCAGAATTGTGGTAACTGTGTAAGTTCATTGATATATGTAGACATACATAATACAGTGTCTAGATTTAGCATATCTGAAGTCAAGGAAGAAGAAAGCATGGCTGTTAGGGCTATGTTATCATCTTTCTTGTTGAAACTGCAGTGAGGTAGCAGAAAATGACCTCCTCCCTCCATCTGTGCTCAGAACATAGGTCAGAGAGATCGAGCTCAATTCTGCAATTTTGTTGCTGGCACATAACTCATGCGGGGGGATGCTTATACAAAAGATTTAAGTAAGAACGCATTAACTGGGGAGAGTACAAAATAGATTGGGGTATTCTGACACATTTCATAAATAGACAACTGTAATTAGTCATGTTTCAAAAAAATTGACTCCTAGCTTCTGAAAAGATAGCAAAGTTACAGTAAGAGCTGTATATTGTTTTCCTCCTTTCCATTTCTACAAAATAATGAATCAAAGGAAGTTTGAAAACTGGCTCTAACCTATGTTTATCTTTTTTAAGCAAATTTTCTGAAATCTTTATATGTATATTAATAAACAAATATTTATTTGGCCATAGTCCAAATAGCATAATATTTTAAATCCTTTGCCAGTAGATTTTTTGCGTGACATTATAACAATACAATTTTCTTCATTTCTGTATTTAAGGCCCTGTGTTAAAATAAATTAATAACAGAACATATGTTAAATCTTTAATTTCAAAAATAGAGTTAATTTTCAGGAAAAATCTATTAAAGTGAAAAAAATGATTAAAATTTTATTATACGAAGAGTTTTGATAAGAACTATAAAATATGAGCTTTATAATTTGTTTTAAGAAAACATTACCCTTATATTTAATAGATCAATTTTTTTCTTTTTTTGACTTTTATTAGTATATGTTTGTCATACATAATGATTACATTAATTATAGAGAATCAGTACTTGTCATAAAACATTTCAATTCTTTTCTTCCCTTCCCTCCTTCCTCCTTTTATTTTTGCCAGCATCAGAGTCATTTACTTATAATTTAGAAAGTTACTTACCATATGTACAGACTTAAAACCAGGCTAATAGGCCAAAAAATATATAAAATACATAAGACAATTGTACTTAATCGATGCGCTTTTAGATACATTGTTCTTGCTGGATTACAATAACTTTCTCTCAATTTTTTCTTGTAATAAACCAATATTAATTGTACTTATCAGATTAAGCTAATAGCACCACACATATGTATATACTGTCTATTATGTAAACTTAAAATAAGTAAGAATAAGTAAGAATTTTATGAAATTTTTAAGCATTCTTCAAGTTAGAGCTTGTCTCTAAAAGTCTTAAAGGTAGGGGAATAGGAAAAAGAAAAAAGGGGGGATCAAGTTACATCATGTACAGGTACAAATTTGTTATGATGAATGTGATCATTATATATACTTAAAATGTACCAATAAACTTAATTTTAAAATGTTCTAAAGGCCACATTTTCTAAATGATACATATTTTATTATAACCATAAAAATGTTTCTTATTTAACTTAAACATTACAAATGTTTGATTTATTTCAGAGGCAGCAACAGTTGTACAGTAGTATAAATAGAGAACTAAGAGAAGGTATGTTCCCAAAATTTATGAATTAAATTTATATGAATTGATTTTTAAATAAGCCATAAAAACAAAAAAAGCAAATGGCATCTTTTTCCTTTCACTGGGTAGTAGAATCTACACTGAATGTTTTGTAACATCAAATGAAAGATAGAAACATATAAACATGTTTATATGTGTGAAGATAGAAACATAAACATATGTTTGTATGTGTGAAGATAGAAACATATCCAATGGAGGACTTACTGAGTCCGCATTTTGTCACGATTCATGTCTTCTGAAAGTCCCACAAAGCCTGTGTGTCTCGTTCCCTGGCTCACCGCTTCCCTTCCTTGGTTCCTCCCTGAGACTCAGCTGCAGGCTGATGCTGTCCTTGAAAAACAGAGGCTTCCTCAGCTTCTCAGCTTCATGGCCAGAATTTCCACTCCTCTAGGAGGAGTCAAGCAGTTCCCACTCACAAACTGTCACTTGATGAGTTTTGTTTTGAAGCTCCTGTCACTGATTTTGTCATTGGTTTCCTTTTGCCTTCAGGGAAACTTCAGATTCCTTAGCAGGGAATAAAAATATCCAGATCACTTGGATTCTTGTCTCCCCCCACCTGCCTTCCTCTGCCCCCGGGCTCTGCCTCCCCACCAACCATCTCCTGTCCCCCTTCCCTCATCCTGGTGTGCTTCCTCCTTATATTTCAGGTGCCACCTTCCATATCATCTCCACTAAAAATCCTGCAATAGTGACAAGAAACAGGCACAGGCCTGTGTGTCCCAGCAGTGCTACTTTCACAGTGTCTGTGTGGTGTGTGCCTGGTTGTCTGGGCTACAGTGTCAGATTGGCCCCTGCATCATCATGATGCCCTTCAGCACCTTACACCTGATCATGTCAGCCACATGATAATTAGTTCAGTGTGCAACTAGAGGTACATTATGCTTAGTAATAATTTTGTATTATACTTGCACATACGTAGTTTTCATCATCACTTACAAAGTTCTCAGTTGTTTTAATAACTCTTGTGTACTTAACTGAAGTCCTTGAGATAAAGCTTGTAACTTTCTCTTTCCAGCTACTGCTGAATTGGAAGCCTTTGGCCTTGAAAGTTTCTCACAGAATATCCGCTAATAAATCAAGCCAAGATCTAATTTCAGAAGCATCACAAGAATATATTGCAATTTTAAGACAAAAGATATATGGTCTGAAAAGATAAAATGTTATCTATGAAGTCCAATAAGTAAAATATTAATTATTTCCCACAAGGTGTATAACATGAAAACTTTGTTGAAAGAAAAAATTTTGTATCATATATGTGATAAAAATTTCTATACTCTTTTAAACCATTTCTTGACATCTGTAGCTTTTAATTGGTGTTTGCAAGAAAAGATCACTGTTGCTGAGTTTTATGTACTCAAACTTCCCAAATGCCAACTATTTTAAATCCAACCAACCACTTGGTTAGAATGAAATATAGTGATATTTTGAAAATTGTATTTTCCAAATTTTTATCAATCTCTACCAGCCTAAAAATGTACTGGTGCCATAGCCACTATAAACACTGTAATGTGTTGCAAGTGTTATCAAACATAATTTTATTACTTTGTAATTTTTGGAACTAATTTATAGTTCTTTCCTCACAAAGAAACATTTGCCTAAGGCTTCTCACCTTCTCTGTTTGTCCATCTTTTTCCCCCAAAGAGCACTGCACTCCATGTCCAACTCTATATTTTTTTGAGACAAGGTCTTTATAACCTACCCAGGCTGAGCCTTAATGTGCAATTCTCCTGCCTCCTACCCACCCAAGTAGCTGGGATTATAGGCATGCACCACCACACCTGGGTCTACAATACAATCTGCACAATCAGGGAGTCATTAGCACTAACACATTTTATCACTTAGTCCTCCAGAGTGTCTAGAGTTTTGCTCCTTATCTATAGTGTTCTTTCTAGTTGAAGGATCCCATTCAGATCCACAGATTCCACTTAGTTGTATTTCTTATGTCCAGTTTTGAACATTGCTTAGCAGATACTGGGGCAACTGTGATGTCCAGTCCATCACAAAAAAGACGGACAGGTCCTTTTATCCCCAGCCAGAAAAATGGAGATTAGAGTTTGGTGTCACCCTGTCCACGTGGAAGACAGCAGGAGGTTGCACACAGAGCAGAGTAATGATGATCTCTGGGCTGTGCTTTGTCACTGTGCTCTGTGGTGAGGGGAGAAGCCAGCTGTAGACTTCGCACCCTCCCACAGCTTCACATCAGGCCAGGGGCCCAGTAAGGTTATAGTTCTCAATCCCTGGGCTGGCGGCTGCACTGGGCAGGAATACAGATCAATTTCCGTGTGGACATCCCTGTCCCAGAGTTGGATGACTGCAGATGACCTCCCAGTCTAGAGAGCATGAGATCCTCCCTGCAAGATGACCCTGGATCCACTCCACTCATGTAGATTAATCCACCCAGCTTATTGCTCAATGCACTGTTTAGGAGGTAGGGCCTGGTTGGAGGCCAGTCATGGGGGCTGTGAGCAGGAAGGATGTTTTTTTTTTTTTTAGACTGTCTCCCTATGTAGTGAAGGCTGCCTTTAAACTCACAGCAAGCCTTCTGCTCCGGGTTCCCAAGTGCTGAGATGACAGGTTTGCACCACCACACCCTGATGAAAGGATGCTTTCTTGTCTGCAGCATCTCCTTTCTTCCACTGTTTACCCTCTGGCAGCCATGGCATGACCACCTTCCTTCACCCACCCTCTGCCATACCTCTTCTGCCTTGGAGCCAGATCACATGGACTGCACCCACTTAAATCATGAGCCAAGTAAACCTCCACTCCATTAAGTTGGGTGTGCCAGTATTTTGTCTCAGCAAAAGAAAGCTGACTAATAAAGTTTCTCTGACCTTTAGTATCAGGTTAGTAATATCCCTTAGTTATTGCGGGCTGATCAGGTCCTCAATCCTTTGAACAAGTATACTGTGAAGGCTAAATAAAAGAGACAAATGGAATGACTTCAGGGCTCCAGGGATGATCAAAGCCCTCTCACAGAATTCAAGATTCTTTCAGGGATAAGACCATGACCTTCTCTGGGTGGCCCCTATTTATTTAGTTATCAAAAGAAGAGGGGAGTACTCAAGATGGGCAGAACTATTCAAGGATTTCTCCAAGTAAGGTATTAGGTTAATCCACCCAAGACTAAGATGCATGAGGCTATCGTCTTTATCTAGCTGAGATGGATCCAGGTGTCCTCAGCTATTATCTTGTCTTATCCTTTGAGGCTTTACAGTTTTATCCACCATTACAGGCCTTAGTAGGGGTTAGTGACTCACAGAGGTTCATTTACTATGAGTCTGCCACCCATTTCCTCACAAATGGCCTAGGCTTTGGACAGACTCACAAGTAAACATGAAAAGCCAGTTGGTTACTTTAAGTCCTGCTCAGGGCTGCTTCATAGTAGTCTCTATGACTTTAGCTGTTGTTTTTCCAGAATCTCTTCACTGAAATGCTATGGGATAATTACCATATATTCAAAATCTGATCTACTTTGAGGAAAACTAAAGCACTTAAACTAATAAATGAGTTTTAAATGGAAAACAGACACTCAAGACTTAATTCTGAGGCATTTTATAATAAAGATTGAGAATGCATAGTTACAAAAATGGATTACAGTTAATTTTTAGTTTTTTTACCAAGGATTTGAGTTTCCTGCTAATGCTACCATACATGTGTATCTCCCACAAAGAAAACTCCCAGGACTGCTTTACACAGCACATGGCCTGTGATGAAGACCCCATGAATCTTACCCAGAACTGGAAAATTCAAATCACTGGGACACAGAGCCTAGAGCACTGTCCACCCTCTGCACTGTCCACCCTCTGCCCCTCCCCTGCCCATAGAGCCCTGCTTTCTGCCCCACCCCTTTCATGCTTACCCCACCCTCTGCCTGTGCATGTACAATAGAGGGTGGGATGACCTAGCTGTGCCTGTGGCTTTTCTTAGTCTGGCATGTCCTGGCCTGTTGTATGGAGCACTCTGTTAACCACTCAGAAGGAAAATGCATAGTCCTTACATAGCTGGCACCTGCCTTTTTAAGCTGCCTATCCCATTTAGCTCTGGCTGCAGGAGCTCCACACAAGTGGTGCCAAGGTGGGGACAGGTAGCGCATTGGTAGAGGCAGCAGCACACAGGTGGGGCCAAATGAGGAATTTGATGCACAGATGGGATAGTTGGTTCACAGGTGAGGACCACAGTGCAGGTAGGGTGGACTTGTCCTCTCCGAACCTCCAGGCAAGAGGACCCCCGCTGCCCAGCAGGCTCCTCATCTCTCTGACCCTTCAGCTCTTCCAGATCCTGCAGTCTCCCTGCACCAGGTTGGACAGCACCCTAAGATTCGAGTTCTTTCCCAAAGGTCAAGATCTGAAGAAATGAAGTTCCCCCATTTCCTGGACATGTAATTAAAAGGTGAAAATGAAAAGGCAGGAAAGTTTTCTACTCTTCTCAACAATGTTCCACCTGTGCCTGAAACAATCCTTGAAAGAGAGCAGTGATTGGCAGGCAAGAAAAAGATAGGTGGGACAGATTGTACATTGACAAAGTGAAAAATCCCAGGAGTAAATTGTCATCCATCAGGTGGGTGGCATGCACATGCCACAGCCCTGCTCTTTCTGCAAGCTACAGCCATGGGTGGCAGAAGCAGCATCCCTGAAGAACCAGGCCAGCTGTGGGAGCTCCTTTCAAGACAGCCCTCCCCACACTCTGGTCAGGTCCAGCAGGCATGATCCCCTGCCAGGTCACTCTGTGTTCTCTGAGGCCAGCAGGAACCTGATAGCAGCTGCTTCCCATCTTCAGTATTCACATTAGATCAGACTCATGATGAAATCTTGGAGGCCTCAGAAGGTAGGTCTCTTGTCATGTAATGCACAAGGAAAGCAGTAGCAACCCTCAATTCACAATGCAAAAACAGCCCAAACTTTATGGGGACACCACCAGCAAAGCAGAGTGAGTCTCAGTGAAGTGGGGAAAAGAACCAAACAGATGCCATGTTGTACTCAGGCACCATCTTAGAGCTTAAATTTTGGTTTCCTTAAGTTTGTTTTTTGTAAATGCTGTCATAGTTACCTAATCCAATACTACCCCATGCTTTGTCGTAAGATCGCTTGTCAAATACCTTTGCTCCTTTGTCACAAACTAAGCCCATGCTTTGTAGGAATATTTCTATAGCTGCACTGAATCATATCAGAAAAAAACATAATCAGTGCTTTCCTATTTTTTAATGTATATGCCCTACCTTGTACTTATGTACATGACCTCAGTACTTCTGTAATAAGTAAACTTAATTTTTTATTTAAAACCCCAAACTGCTTTAAAAAACAAAAGCCCAGAAACATACTATTAGATTTTTTTAAGTTGATAAAAGTAATAGCATACTACTGGCTTTCAAAAAGAAATCCTTTCAAATTAAATACCCATTGTCAGTAGATTCTAGCAGAGGGGGCAGCATATAGGCCTGGACTGATGAAAAAGGAGTTTAATCAGATGCCCAGGGACACTCAGAAATCATGCTTCTCCTTCATCCCTTAATGCACTTCTAGACACACATTTTGGTCTTCAGAAATAGCAGGTAAAAAACAACAGCAGACAGAAATGTGAGCGCTACAGAGCTGGCACTGAAGAGACAGCATCCCAGGCCACACCCCAGCTCTGTGAGCCCCAACAAGAAGAGTTTCAAGGACCCTCACCCTATCCCTGCCGCATAAAAACTCGTCCCTCATCTAGAGCATGCACAGACCCTCATTGGAAATCCAGTGGTCATGCAAACCTGTTGGTCTCCTGGAAAGGATACGGATGGCTCTTTCCCAAGGATGAGCCCTGAGCATCACCAGTACAGGAACTATTCAGTGTGGAACATGACAGCAGCCTTTCTGTGTAAGACAAACAGGAGCTGGGACATCAGAGTCTCCTCTTCTGGGTCAGGATAGACATGTACATCTTCTGAATGGATCAGACCTTGGATTCTGTTTTTCAGGTGGCCTACAGCTCAGGTCCTATAGAGCATCTGCTGAGCATTGAGTCTGTCTGAAATCCATTCAGTGCCCTAGGAAGCTGGGTGAAGAGTGTGATGAGCACTTCCTACCTCATTTGCCCTCCTATGGCCGTAACTTCCTGTACCGTCCTGCTCTGTGGAGAAGGGTCATTGTCACCACTCATGTGCTCACTGCTGAAATGTTCCTTCTGTGTTCTCCATGTCTCTCCTTTGTCAACTGATGCCCACCATCCACAATTCACCTGTCACCTCCTGAGAACACCTTGCCCTTCTCCTAGCCTCCCTCTGGTTTATTGCATTGACATTATCCCCTAGTTATTGCAGGATGATCAGGGCCACAATCTCCCAAATGAGTGGATGGCAAAGGCTTAAATAAATGAGACAATTAAAATAATTTCAGGGCTCCAAGAGAATCCAAACCCTCTCACAGAATTTACAATTCACTGGATTAGGACAAAGAACTCTGGGCAGC